CAGCAGCACGGCCGCGGAGCCCGGCTTTAGCCGCAGCAGCTCCGCTCCCGAGAGCGGCCCCCAGCGCTGCAGAGCTCCGCGTTGGCACCTCCGCAGTGTCACAGAGAGCTCTGACGGAGCGGGGCAGCCGCTGGCTCACGGTGCCGTTACCATCGCTCCTAAGGAGACCGATGGCAAGGGGCTGCTCCTCTATCTCGGGCCGCTGGACTGGTCCCCAGCCCCTGGCATGACCCCGAGGGGCAGATGTTCCCTCAGCCCCAGCAGCACTGCTCTGTGTGCTGCTCTGAGCCCCACAGCTGGCTGCAAGCGGTGGTGGTAGCGATAAAAAACTCACCGTTTTCCTGCAGCTCCAGAGAGGGGAAGGGGGAGGGGACAGACACATTTCTGCACGAGATACAGACTCCCTGGCCCTTCCGGCTCTCGGAGCGACCGAGCGGTTGGCTGATGCACCAGAGCCTGGGAGCGCTCAGCCATACCCCGAGCAGGTTTTAAGGGGCAGAGCAGCTTGCAGCCCGCACGTGGTTCATGCACGGCACCCTCTGCTCTCGCCGCCTTGCGACACTGCTTTTTAGCGTGGTCTTTGTGAATGATTGAGCAGCTCAGCGCTGCCTGCGCGGGGCAATTGGACCCATCCCCTCCTGAGGAGCGAGGGGAACGGGCAGAGCCCACATCAGCGCTGTGGCCTTCAGTGCAGCGATTCCAGGCGGTCAGCGAGAGCCTCTGCTCTTTGCCTGGTGCTAGCTGCATTGGCGCCTTTGTTTGCAGAGCAACGTTGGGCAGTGTGTTCTTCCAAGCCCGTCGTGAGATAACGTAACATAGCAGCCCCTAGCAGCGCACCGATATCGGACCAAAGGTCCATCTAGTTTACATGAACCCATGAAAACTTTTAGCGCCCACAGCACCTTCTGGCAAGGAGTTCTGCAGCTCTGTTACCTGCTTTGTGAACGCCTGCCTCTCCCTTGCTTTATTTGTTGCCCTGCACTTTTTTTGTTGGAAGAGAGGGCGGCCAGCTGACCTTTCTTTAGCTGACCTTACAGATGTGGCATCCCCCATCTCTTTCTTGGCAGGGAAGCCCCAGAGGCTCCCGCATGGGAACTGTCCCTGCCCTTGGTTCCCTGCTGCCCTTCTCCGGGCTCCTCTGGGGCGGGCTGGGACCGCGGGGCCACGCGGGGAGGCTGCTCTGCGTGGGCGCTCGGTGCTCTCCAGCGCCGGGGCTGGTGCCAGGGCCCGG